ATATATAACCCTTTTTTTCAATGTTCATAGTTTAAGGTGATTATTTCCAAGTAATTAAATAAATTTCTAAACAGTGAGAGCAAGAAGACACCAACAGGCAAACAAAAAAGTGAAGAACATTGATTCAGTCATCCATTTCCTCAGGAATAGCACTTCTGTTTAATGAGAATATGGAGAATATGTGGAGAATGTGCATGAGTGTGGTTTCTCCTGCTGTTCTTGTTGAGCATGCTTTAGCAGAGTTTCACCCACAGTGTACACTCTCAAAAAGGGTGTGTTAATTAATAACACATTTTTTGTGTTATGGCTATTTTAACACATTTTGTGTAATTTTAAGTTGATCATGTGTAAAAAGAAAAAGAAAGAGAGAGAGAGAAACAACACAGTGTCCAACACAATATGTGTTAACTATCATCCAATCACACTGCTGCTACGTCACTCTGCGCCGCAAGAAGCAAGTTCGCGCCTCTTTTTCCATCGGTGGATGACTTGGATGCACACGTCAGGTATTTCGATTGATTTGTTATTAGAAATTGTCAAATACAAATTGTCAAATGTATTTTATTATTGTTATTTTTTAGACGGTCAATTGTGCGTTTAGTTAGCGACCTCTCGTGCTTACGGGTATTTTCCGTAGACTCGAGAGGTATGGGATTACATTTGTGTCAATAAAAATGAACGTAACTTTATAAAACTGAACGTAACTTTTCCAGAAACTATCAAAAATATGCCATTACAAAAGAAGAAAAACACAATGAAAATGAAAAAATGAACTCAGTCCACAAATTGAACATGCTCTTCAAATATGCTTCATTCTTTGTTAATGATCTTCAAAGATTCGTTTTCGCAAATCGTGGATTTTGAATGCGTTGCCACAGATTTCGTTTACGCTTCGCAAATTTTCGTTTACTGTTTTGACACAAACCTCCGGGCTTAACGGGCTTAACAGCGATCTACTCTGATTGGCTAGAGAGCTTTTGATGGACAGCTGCTTTCTGTACAGACGTAACAGACGTCACTCAGTGGCGCGCATATTGGAAAGCTGTCGCGGTGATTTGTGTGCAATACGTCGTGCTTTTGTTTATATTATTAAGTATGTAAATAATATTTGACCTCCGGTTGGCTCTTGGTCTGTAAAGATGAGCTCTCAGGAGAGACACGGAGCGGCATCATCTTCCTCCTCAGCTTGTCCCTCAAGGCAGCTTGAAGTAAGTTCGTGTTAATAAAGTAATCAATAACATCGATAAAGTTTTATTCATGTACAGTGTGCAACAGTTCTGGCTTTATTTGACACATTTATTGTTTAAAAACTTGATAAAGTTTTATTGATTTATTGTTTAAAAACTTTTTATGTGTACCAAGATACAGTGTGTATAGATATAAATATAAAATAGAAATATTTTATAATAAATAATAATAAAATAATAAAACAAATAATAAAATTTGCCTAATCTTCTTTTCTTTTAATGCTACTTGTCAGGACCAAAGACAAATGTCACTTTTCTAGGTAGGCACTAAATGATGGTATATAAATTATAAAGCTTAATAGGGTAAAACTGGTTTGCTAGTCCTTATATTGACTTAAATGTCCTAAAGGGGCTGTTTTTTTTTTTTAAAGATTTATTGGATTTTAATTACACATTAATGCTTACTAGGCATTGTTTATATCTGCAGGAACAAGTGCAAGAAGACATTTTACAGCATATGCTGACAAAGTTTAGCTTGATTTTTCGGAATGAAACTTTAGATTTGGATTACCTCCTGGATACTGCTCAGCAAGAACTGGATTTGGCAATTACTGCATCAAATCATGTCAACATCCCAGAAGCTTTAATTATGGGTCTACAGGAGCTAATCAACATAATTAATGTAAATGTAAGTTCTGAAGAAACTTCAACAACTGCATCTGATATTGTAGCCTGCACTTGGGGAAACGTCGGACGCCCACGTTTGGATATCAGAAGGGATGACCTTGAGGAACTCCTTCATACTGCTCTCCCTGTAGAACATCTTTCTCGGATCTGTGGCGTTTCTAGAAGCACAATAAACAGAAGATTTAAGGAACACACCCTGTCTGTCAGAGCCTGCTATTCCAACATATCAGATGAAGAACTTGATCATGTTGTGAGATCAATAAAAATAAGAATGCCACATGCTGGCTACAGACTAATGAAAGGTGAACTTTTGGCTAGAGGGCACCGGATACAGTGGCACAGAATGAAGGCCTCTATGCGACGGGTGGATGGAGCTGGAATTTTGGCCAGAATGGTTCAGCTTGGTTTTATAGCTCGCAGAAGTTACTCTGTTCCTGCACCATTGTCCCTAGTTCATGTGGACACCAACCATAAGCTAATCACGTGAATATTTTCTCTCTTACACTCACTTGGCGTAACTTGAAGTTGTCCAAATCACACAGAACCACGCGAGATGTCAAAACGAGATGTTGTTGGCAAGATGGCCGCTTGTATAGAGATAACGGTGAGAATTGTTTTTGTCCCGAAATAACCGTTCTGTGTAAGTTGTGTAAGTTATTTTCATACAGTGGTATTGTTTATGGAGTTAATAATCTATTAAAACTAAGAAGCAATATAAGCAATATATAAGCAAAAGGTGTAAAGACGCTATCCCCCGGTTTCACAGACAAGGCTGGTCAAGACTAGTCCCAGACTAAAATGCATGTCTGGGCTGTTTTAACTGAAAGCAACTTGAACTGGCTGATCTTAAAATA